ATGATGCAATATATACTGAGGTATATTAGTTAAGATGCTTTCTGGTTGTAGACAACAGTATACCCATCTCTATCTCTAAATAGCTTTTTTATAAAATTAATAGTTCATGCAACTGAAAAGCCAAGAGGTACATATACAGATGCCCCTTGACTTATGATGGGGTTGTGTCCCAATAAATCCATTATAAGTTAAAAATATCATTAAGTCAAAAATGCATTTACCTCAATAAACTCATTGTAAAATTGAACCATCATAAGTCCAGATGCTCCTTGACTTATGACGGGGTCACATCCAGTAAACCCACTGTGAAGTAAAAATATTGCAAGTTGAACAGGGACAGTTTGACTTTATCTTTTCCAATTTGGATGCCCTTTATTTCCTTCTCTTGACTGATTGCTCTGGCTAGTACTTCCAATACTATGCTGAATAGGAGTGGTGAGAGTAGGCATCCTTGTCTTATTCCTGTACTTAAAGGAAAAACTCTCAGCTTGTTCCATTCAGGATGATATTGGTGGTGGGTTTGTTAATTGGTTTTTATTGTGCTGAGATACTGTCCTTCTATACCTGATCTGCTGACTGTCTTTAACATGAAGGGATGCTGAATTTTGTCAAATGCATTTTTGGCATCTATTGAGATAATCATACGGTTTTTTTCCTTCATTTTGCTGATGTGGTGTATCACATTTATTGACTTGTGTATGTTAAACCATCCTTGCATCCCTGAGATGAATCCCACTTGATCATGGTGTATAGTAACCAAAATAGCATGGTACTGGCATAAAAACAGACACATGGACCAATTGAGCAGAACAGAGAACTCAGAAATCTATCCACATACTGACAGCCAATTGATCTTCAACAAAGGCATCAAGAACATACATTGGGGGAAGAACAGCCTCTTCAGTAAATAGTGCTAGGAAAACTGGATAACTATGTGTAGAAGAATGAAACTAGACTCATACATCTCACCATATATCAAAATCAACTCAAAATAGGTTAAAAACTGAAATATAAGACTTGAAACTATAAAACTGCTGGAAGAAAACATAAGGGAAACATGTCAGGATATAAGACTAGGCAAAGACTTTTTGAATAAGACCACAAAAGCACAGTAAACAAAAGGAAAAAAAAATGGGATTATACCAAACTATGAAGCTTCTGTGCAGAGATGGAAACAATCAACATAGTGAAAAGACAACCTGCAGAATGGGAGAAAATATATGCAAACTACACATTCAACAAGGGATTAATATTCAGAATATACAAAAAACTTAACAGTAAGAAAAAAAAATCCAATTAAAAAATGAGCAAAGGAGCTGAATAGACATTTCCCAGAGGAAGACATACAAATGGCCAACAGGTATATGAAAAAATGCTCAACATTACTCAACATCAGGGAAATGCAAATCAAAACCATGCTGAGATATCATGTCACCTCAGTTAGACTGGCTAATTTCAAAAAGACAGAGAATAAATGCTGGAGATGATGCAGAGAAAGGGGAACCCCTCTACACTTTTGGTGGGACTGTAAATTAGTGCAGCCATTATGGAAAACAGTATGGAGGTTTCTCAAGCAACTACAGATAGAACTACCATATGATCCAGCAATCCCACTACTGAGTATATATCCAGAGGAATGGAAATCATCATGTCAAAGGGATATGTGCACTCCCATGTTTATTGTAGCTCTATTTATAATAGCTAAGATATGGAACCAACCTACATGTTCACCTATGAATTACTGGATAAGGAAAATGTGGTATATGTTTACAATGAAATACTACTCGGCCATAAAAAAGAATGAAATTCTGTCATATGCAGCAACATGGATAAGCTTGGAGAAAATTATATTAAGTGAAATAAGCCAGGCACAGCAAGAGAAATACTCATAAGAGGGAGGGAGGGAGGGAGGTAGAGTAGAAGGGAAAATGGAAAGAAGGAAGAAAGAAAACAATAACCACAATAATACATTGGACTTTCAGAAGGAGAGAACAGAACTATGATTATTAGAGGTGGGAAAGGAAGAGGGGGAAAGGGTTAGGGAGAAATTGGCTAATGGACGCAAAGAATAATTACATTTTGTAATGATAAATACACTAATAATCCTGATTTGATCATCACATATCGTACACAAGTAGTGATAGACAACTCTGTACCCCAGAAATATGTGTAATTAATTATGTTTCAATTAAAAAAAGAAAATTGCAAGTCAAGCTATCATAAGTTGGGGAGGTCTGCAGTTCAACTGGAGCTTGAGTGAGTGGTTTGAACAACATCACTGGGAATCAATATCTTTCTTTACCTTCCATTTTTTAGTATTATTATTATTTTTTTCTGTTGGTTCCAATACAGCAGACATTCCTGTCATGGTCTCAAGATGGCAATTCTTGGGGTTGTATTTTTCTTTATTCAAGTGCAGCAAGAAACAGAGAATCTGTGTCCCCAATAGTTTAAATAAAATCCAAGAGATGAGACCCATAGGCTCTGACTGGACTGAATTATGTTTTCTTGAACTAATGACTACGGCTAGGTGAAATGAAAATGCTGATTATACTAAGCCAACCTACCCTGGAGGTTTAGTCAATCCCACCCAAAGTACATGACTAGTAAATGTGGTGTAGTGTTATGAAGAGGGAATGGCTGGCTGGAGAGGCAACTAACAAATGTCTAAGATGCATTTCTCAAGTCTCTTTATCTCCTGAAATAGCAAGTTGATCAGTTTAATAATAAATAGTACTTAGATTACTAGTAACTAACACTGATCATGTTTTACTTTCTTGATTCCAAGAAGTGGATAATTGAGTTAGAAAAGTAAAGAAGTATAAAAAGAGCAACTCTATACTTTGCAGGCTGAAACGACCTATTCATTATTGTACTCTGAGCACCAAGCACAGTGCTTGGCACCTAGAAAGAATTCTGTAAATATTCAACTCTAAATTCAAAAGTTTACAAATTTTTCCCCATATATATCATTTGCTACAAATACAAATCTCTTGTGAGATACAGGGCAATTATTATCATTTCCATTTTATAGATGAGAAACTAGAGCTTAAATCTTAAGTAATTTGCCCCAAACACTAAGTGATGGAATCAGGCCTTATATCCAGGTTTTCTGATTTTAAGTAACATGATTTTTACATTATTCCACATTGCTTCACATGCCTCAAATGTGAAGACCAGTTGAGGAAAATTGGGATTTTTTCTTCAATAGGTAAAAAGACCTTCCCTTTCGAAAATTAATTTTATATAAGCAAAGCTTATAAAAGCCAGACAAATAGTATATAGAGATAGTCCAAATAACTGTTCTCATGTAGAAATCTTCTAGGTCATTCAGAGCCAGATAAGCATTAAAAGTTAACGAAGTTTCGTCAGAAGCACCAGGAATATTAAAGGCCTTCCTTTTCATTATTTTCTGTTACATATTTCTTCCTTTTCATTCTTTCCTAAGATGATACCAGGTCTGAAGAACAAGAACATTACACTCTTTAATGTAGGGCTCTGATTATCATTTTTCCAAAGGAAGTGCAAAAATGTGAGTCTACTTACAAAACTGAACACATATCAAAAAGACCAACACTACTACTTACAAAGGATTATTAAATACCAGTTAATAAATGAGAAGTTCTTAGATGATGCCATAAAAAGACATCAAGTTAGAACAGTTCAGCGGCCGTTCTCAACTAGTTCCTCCAGAGAATTAAGCCCTAATAATTTCAGACATCTATCCTATGCAATAATTAACTTCTCTCGTACATCTAGAATGGTACTATTTATATGTGATCCTTGGGAGAACTGAAGAAAAGACAAATAATTTTCAGTGTACTAATCTGAAACTCAGAATACAACTTAAAATGTAGGTTATGAATACAGAAATTTCCAATTACTTTAGTTTGAAAACTAGAGTGATTATTATAGTTGTGGTTGCTTTGTAAGATGAGAATATAAAAACAGACCTGCTTCAAATTTGGTACATTTTGGAATGCTTATAATTTATAGCAAAGCTGCATCTGGAAAATCCATATACTAATTGTCAACTGAAATTCACTAACAATTTTACTAACCAAGATTTAAATGTTCTACTTAGACTTTCACTAACCCCAGTTTATATCTAAGTGGTATGTTTAGTTGAATTTAAGGGTTAAAGTCTTCATTTGGTAGTGTATCTCTCAAAAGAGTACTGATGTTGTTTTTTTCCCTCCAAATTCTGGGTGTTTTGTTCTTCTTAAGTGTTTAAAGCCAAAGTTCACTTTATTACTTATTTTTCTTTATTTCCCCTTTCATTTTATATCCACATCAGGGGTTGAGATGGGTTTTTCTTTTTTTTTTTTTTTTTTTTGCAGCCATAGTATAAATTATCACTGCATAATAATTTATATTTATCAGTTTAATCTTTTCTAATTTGGCAATTTTTGCAAACTATCATTCAGCCAGTGACTAAAAAAACTAATATGTATTCTTAAAAGTTTGTATCTGAAGATCAGAAATCACAGAATTTGCATTAAGATTCAACTCTGTAAATGGCGGTAATGAGAACACAGTGAAGGAAAAGAAAATGAGATGCAGAATCATAAAGAAAAAAAACAAGGTTAATACAAATTAAATATTAGTTTGACCAATATATCTGTATTTTTGGACTCAAAGTGATTCCCTTAAAGGGTTATCTTAATTATAACAGGCAATGTATTTAATGATATCCAATGAAATTGCTAAAGAAGATAAAACTTCTAAGCAATGAATTTCTTGGAAGTCATGTGATGAAAGCTCATTGCTGCAAACCATAGAATCTTAATGATAGCAGAGTACTTTAGGCACAGGAGAAACTCTGTTAAATTCCTTGTTGGAATATACTCTGTTGCACTTACACTTTCACAAGAAAGCACTGCTGAAGATCCATTAGAATAAAACAACACATCATCCATGATATGTTATAGCCAACCTCCAAGGAGAAGAAGTAGGATGTATGTTTGCAAAATCATTAGTGCAAAAGCCTCTTGTCTTACCCGTTCATCTGCACTGCCTTTTGCATGATGGGAATAACTGATGAGACCAGGGATGGGCTGTTCACCGTATGCCATGATAACAGCAGGACTGGTGTAGAATGGATGCTTCTAATGCACAACACATAACAACTATGAATATAGGGACAGGAAAACATGAAACTATACAAACAAAATGACTGAAAAGGAAAAAAGGTGAAAACAAATGGAACAATGAAATGCCAAATTTTTCCACATGTAGAATGACAAAATCAGCTTAGATTTTAAATCTTATAAGCTTCTTTCTTAAGATTTAAATTGATGGTACTTTTTACTCTTTTAATTAAAAGTAAGAGAGAAAGAACATATAATTTTTAAATGTACCTATTTTACCAATTAGTTCAATTGGGGGGAAAAAAATCACACACAACTTGAATACTTACTAGCCTTAAGTAAGGACTTAAAGGATCACTGAAAGGATGTGGAGAGAGAATCATCTAGTGTTCAGTCAAAGAACCATCTACTGGTTGCCTGAATGAACACTTTAAAAGTATTTCTCTATGATTCTCATCTAATATGTTGTCCAAAAAAACCTCACTATGCTTATAGCTAAAATATCTGGATGATCCATAAAACTCTATGAATTACTTCACATAGCAATTAAATTTTCAAACTGTGTGCTCTCAGTCAATGAAAAATCATTCCTAGAAGGGATATGCTACTTTCTGAAGATATTAAAGCACACTAGGTGAATTTTACTAGGTATGAATAATAATCAAATCATGTTCTGAGGCTTTAAGATGACTAAATTTACTCAAGTACCTAATGGTACTATATTTACTCCCAGAATCGCCAAAGGGAATTTATAATACTTTGGGATTGTCCTATATATTACTTCATTAAATTAAAAATGCAAATATATCTATTTTCTCTATTTATCACTATATCTATTTTTATCTCTATCTCTATATATTTGCATTTTAAAATTAATATTAAATAAAAAAAATATCTATTTTCTCCCTATATCTATATAATATAATATATCATATTATATCTATATTCTCTCTATAACACTGGGGTAATCTATATCAAGTAATGTAAATTCAACAATTGCTGAAAAGCTTTGTCTTTTAAAAAATCTTTATTAATCTTTCCCAACTCATATCTTGAATCTTCTCAGGTCTTTTACCTTCCATTTGCTGCTCCTTTAAGAATTTGTGAAGTTTTAATGTTCTGAATATATAAACATTGTATGTTTAATATGTCCACAAAAATGACATCTCCAAAGAGTTCTTAAATGTCAAACTGTTTATTACTGCAGCTATTACTTCAATAGGTAACAGCAGTATCTTTAATGCCTCAGTGATCATAACAAACTTCAATTCCTTCAAAGAATCTACATCAAGAAGGAAACATAATAGTGGAGTGTCATGAATATTCTAGTTCTTTCTTCAGTATGCTCTGAAGAGGTATTAAAGAGGGATGAAATCAGCACATTTACCTGTGGGTCCTTTAGATCTCTGAGTTTCTCTCAGCAGGCTTACCTTGGCAGCAATGGCTGCTGCAGTTATATGCGATGAGGAACTATCTTCTGTTGAAGCAACACCACTGTCTTTCTTCTCTTCTTCCTCTTCCTCACATTGAACTCCTTTGTCTTCTGTCTGTTTATGGGGGCTGGTTGTGGGAGGTGGGGAAAGAGGAGGTGGCGGGGAAGGTAAATCTTCAAGTTCATCATGCACCTCCTTTACTTTTACAATGGCATCACGTAAAAGGTCAATGGCATGAGGTAGAGCTGGCAGTATGAACTGAAAGCATTCCTGTCCATAAGAAGAAAAAAAAAAGAAAAAAATGAAAATGAAGTACTTGTCTAGGCATATAAAATGGTAGCAATCAAACTGAATTGTGATCTTGGATCTGCATTTCCCTCTATCAATCTCAAGAATAAATCATATTTAAAGCATTATCTTTGCAATATGAAATATGAAGTAAGCATGCCATATATTATGGTATTCTCCATAAGCTAAAAGAACTACATTACTTTATAAGCACACACTGAATTGTTTTGGAAGTAAAATTTCTACCTAACTTTGGAGTTTAAAGATGCATTATGAGAAAGGCAGAAAAGAGTTTTCATATTTCAGTTGGAGCAGGGCGTTAGAACTAACAACCTACATGAGGACCAGATTATTTTGTTCAGAGAGCTGAAGTTCTGACTGCCATCATAAAGCACAACTAGGGAACATTGTACAATATGTAAAAATAGAAATAAGCTTATAAAGAGCACTGCATAAAAGTCAATATAATCTGCTGCTTAGGTGCCTGTTATAACCTATAATGTACGACCAAAAGAGAATAGATGAGAACTTAAAAACCAGAACAAAGGGCCACATATGTCTGGGAAATAAGTGGAGGTCTTTCTCTTTCACATTTAAAGTAACATTTTAAAATCTAAGATGTAAAGAGATACATTAAAAATTTTTGGATGGTTACTGGAATACCTGAAAGGATGCCTATTCTTTTGACTCTCTTGTATGGCTGACTGCTTACTGTTTAAAGATTGTGTAGTACTAAATTTAACCCCGACCGAAGAGAGGTCTGGTCTTTATCTTCAGCTACTGGGAGGTGACTTTCAGGCCCTCAGAATGTGATGCCTGATAGGAATATATTTGTTTGCCTGGATACTTTGGTTACCATTCAGTCTAATAATGTAGTTTATTATGAGGGCTTTGGGAAACATGGTATCAGTTTTGCCTCTGGAAGAAACTGACACTAAAGGCATCAGCCTAATCTCCAGGCAGGGCTAGACTGCAGGTTAGCCACACTGGCAGCATGTGATTGAGTCCCAATAAAAACTCTGTAAACCAAAGGCTCAGGTGAGCATCCTCAGCTGACAATATTCCATGTATATTGTCACACATCAATGCCAAGAGGGTAACATGTCCATGATTCCAAAGGGAGAGGAAAACAGAAGCTCTTCATTTGGTACCTCTCTTAGATTCTGCCCTATGTACTTTTTCCCTTGGCTGGTTTTAATCTGTATCCTTTCTCTGTAATAAACTTTAACTGCGAGTATAACAGCTTTCAGTGAGTTCTAGTGAATTATCAAACCTGAGAGTAGTTTTAAGAATCTCCTGAACTTGCAATTGGTGTCAGAAGTGAAGGAAGTCTTGTGGAGTACACCAATTTTGTAGTTGACTATTTTTTGCAGTTGGCCTAAACTCTTTATAGTTGGTACAAGAAGTTAAAAAGACACTGGCTCACTGAAGAAGTGTGAATCTTGGGAAGAGGAAGAAAGAGAGGGTACAGGATGATGAACCTTTGATCCCTGGATAAACACAGGGTCACCCACAGTATGAAATTGCAGCCATGCTGTGATTAGTTACAGCTGACAAAAGTTACCGATGGAATTTATAAATGATGGATCCAATTCACAAGTTGTCTCACTGGATGCATATAGAAATTCAAAATAACAATAAACAAACTAAATATACAATCCCTTGGTTATTGTTATCTATACCGGCTAAGATGAAAGTAAGGGAGAACTTCCAGTCAAGATGGCGGTATAGACGGTCCCCAGCATCACTGTCTCCCACAAATCAACCAATTTACAACTATGAAAAAGCAACAACAGCCAAGCTGGGGCTGCTAGAGCTCAGGGGAAGGGGAGGAGAGACGTATGGAGTGCATGAAGGCAGGAGAAGCCATGATAAGAGAAAGAAAAAAGCACTCCATTTTGAATCATGGCTGCTTCCGGGCTGGAGCTGCTGAGTGCATGGAGCAAGAGCTGGCAAAAGGCACAGCTGTCCCCTTTGGATGAAGTTGCTTGGAGGAAGCAGGGTAAAAGAGGGCTATGGTGGCTCCCAGGCCACCAAGACCACTAATAGGGTTCCCATGGACCCACACAGGAGCGAGGAACCACAACAACTGAAAAAAAGGAGCCACTCAGAGGCTGGTGAGTCACCACAAGGGACTAGAGCATGGCCAGTCCCATGGGAAGTGTTTAGAGCACGGGTGGTGGGGGAGACGGGCCCACCAGGGGAATGCTGGGGCACAGCAAGGACAGCTGATCTGCCCCCCAATCAGCATAGGACCACTCAGAGGAGACTGGTCAGGAATACAGAACTGCAGGTTGTACAGTCTGCTGAAAAGACTCAGGTCCAGACCAGAGTTTCTACGCAACCCAAGTGCACTGGATTTCATGAGAGCTGGAAGTACCTATAAAGTCAACCATTAAAACTTGAGCTCCACAAAAAGCCTTCCCTAGGGAATCAGCAGCAAAGTAGCAATTTAGCTCAACCGCAGAGCTCAAGTACTGGTCCCCTCAGGAAGTTCTGCCATTTTAGAAGTAAGCAAAGGACCAACAAATTAGTTCCAGTGCAGAGTTTAAGTGGTGGGAACAGCAAATAATCCAACACAGAACTGAAAGAAAAAACAAAATACCCGCAACCAGAGACAAAATTTGATATTAATTAGTAAAGGTCTCATTTCACCAAAGAAGGACCAGAAGTCCCCTGGGCTACCAAGCCATAAAAGGGGGAGGGCTGGGGACCTCAGCAATGCCCCCTAACACTTGCAACCAGCCCAGCAACAACCACTGAGCCACCGCAAGAAGGGCCCCAGGTTCCTGAGCTGGAGTGGTGAGGGGCAAGGGCTTTTGCCACACCCCCCTGACATCTGCACCCAGCCTGGCAATGACCAAGCCATGGCTGGGCTCCCTTGTGCGAATGAGGGGGGGCGCCACAGGCCTCAATCCTGCCCCTCCTCTGCCCTCCTTCTTCCATCCCATTTCCTTCCCCTTTCCCCTCTCCCCCTCCCTCCCAACTGTTCCACAACATCATAGAATGTAAAAATAATAATAATAATTTTTAAAAAAAAGTAAGTAAGGGAGAATGTTCAGGAGGATCATGAAGTTGGGCCAAGCTTGGATTCTCAGAGCCATTTGGAAAGGAAAATGTTATGTTGAAACAATAAATAGTAAATAAAGTTAGACTGATTCATAAGAGAATGGGGAAAGGAAAAGAGGAGACTCTAGGAACTTGTCCCAGTATGGTAGAAATATTTATATGGGGGCTGGCCAATTAGCTCAGTTGGTTAGAGTGCAGCCTTGACCAGCCAGCTCCCCCCACCAAAAAATAAAGAAATATTTAAATGGTTATTAAGAAATGGATGAATAAAGTGAACATCAATGGAAGCAAAACAAAGGTTTTACTGTAGCATCGTTGTAGATTAGGTGGACAGATAGGAGCCCCTGCTGGTCTTCCAACATTGAACATTGAAAGGTCTTAAATAAATCTTCTCTACTCAAGTTTGGAGGAATTAAAAAAGGTAGAAGGCATGGGCTGGCCAGTTGACTTAGCTGGTTAGAGTGTGGTGCTCACAACACCAAAGTCCAGGGTTTGATCCCTGTGCCAGCCAGCTACCAAAATCACAAAAACAAAACAAACAGAAAAGGCAGAAGGCAAAAATGACTATAAGAAACCTGACCTTGAATCATCTGAGGCGATTGTCCCATAATCAGGATAAGGGCTGACAAAAAGGTTTGGGTCCTTGGGACCAACCCAGGGCTGGAGGTCCAAGGGCATATGCACGTAAATGGGTAAAATGGTCAGGGGGTGGAGAAGAGATTTTTCTGTGACTCTTTGACATGGGAGTCAACTGTGACTCTAAAACCTGTTGAAGTCCTAGTGCAGGTAGACTGAGAGATAACAACTATGCAACAGTTGATGGTATTAAGGTAAAAGTTTGGATGAAAATTAGAATATTTGGACAGTGAACTTTATGTGATGTAGTTGAGTCCCCTTTGCCTGAACGAATTATGGGAATGGACATTGCGTTTGACTGAAGAATGCTTCCCCTACCTAGCATTGTAAAACAGATGGCATGTAAGTCAACGTTCTACCATATTGATTGGACATGCTAAATAGGAACCAGTAAGATTCCCCAAGCCCACATAGGTCATTAATATGCTGTGGAGTAGCCCTGTGTAGAGTGCAGACTGGAGCTTATGACAAAAACCTAAGTGCCACCCAGTGATAACTGCTGGGATTTTGGACCAGAAAATTTTCATTTTAGAGACAATTACTAATTTGCCATTAGATTTTAACTGAGACTGCCCCAAGACTGAAGGACATAAAATAACCTTGAAACCCGCAACAGCCATAATGTCTTGGGTAATGTCAGAGAAATGTTCTAAAGGGGAGGGCAGTGAGTTTTATAATAAAATAGAAATGGTACATACAGAATCATGCTACCAAGGGAATGCAGGGAGGTACTCACAAGCAGGTAGCCTCTTTTCCCTACGACCAAATTCATAACCACTTGAGGAGCTGCTGGATCCTATGGTCACCTGGGCCACTTGTGTAGTGTCCTATAAACAGCTTCCTATTGACCAGGAAAAAGCCTCGTTGTTTACAGACAGCAATTCCAAGGTGAACAGACAGCATGCTGTTTGGAAGGCTGCCATTCAGATTGAAGAAGGTAAAAACAAATCAACTTGATGCACTGAAATGCATGATGCTTACCCCTATGTTTGGGTTTTTACTAACTCATAAGCAGTGTCCAATGGCCTGGCCATATGGTCTGGCAGAAGGGAGATGAAAAACTGACATATTAAAGTGATGCCTATTTGGGCATGACCCTATGAAAATCACTCTGGGAATTTAAGGGGGTGCATTAAATTATAATATATTGATGTACATCATAAGAACTCCCTTCCAATAGTGGAAGTTAGAGAGTAGAGAGAACTGGGGAGCAGGCATCCTGGTGGACTTCCTTGATGTGGCTCCTGGGCCCATGAGATGAGTGGACACTACAGGGCTGCAGCATGCAAAGATGGGCTAAATCTAGATAAAGTCCTCTTGCACCCTCTGAGGCACAAAATGCTAACAAGGACTGTTCTGTTAACAAGAGAGACAGGGCCTGCAGAGGGATATGGGGTAGATTCCAAAGAGGGAAGGCTCTGCACATAGCTGGCAAGTAAAACTGATACTGATAGCTCCTAAATTTAGAATAGACAGATTCCAAAGAGGGAAGGCTCTGCACATAGCTGGCAAGTAAAACTGATACTGATAGCTCCTGGAGGCTATGAATGGGTCCTAACAGGAATAGATATTTACTCTGAACTGGGTTTTGCTTACCTAGTGGTAGATGCAAATGCTTAAGAGTATTGTAAAAGGACCAGAACAGAAAGGACCAATTTGGACTACTGAGTCACATTTCTTTTGGCCAAGGAACACATTTTCATCCTCGGAGTAATGATTCCATAGAGAATGGAATGGGAAGTTGAAACATTTGTTGTCTAAAGTGGGAGGAGATAAAGACATGAAAGGCTGGCTTATATGCCTTCATGAGTATGTGATCACGTTCAATATTGGGATGGAGCGGTGGCAAAGAAAGGTCCTTACTGGACAGATTCTTTTACTCTTCTAGGAAAAAGGGGGCATAGGGAAGAATGCTGTTATGATGATACTGTTTTCTTTACGACTATACTTTTTCTTTTTCCCACACATCACCTTAACTTTCTTTTTTCTACCTGATGCAGTAGTCCCAGGACCAGGGATACAACCGTGGTTGCCAGAAGCAGGGATGATTCCTAAGCAAGAAACTGTAATTATACCTTTAAACTTTTATGTCAGAATTCATAACGACCTGATGTGGTAGATTTTGCCTTACTCCATTTAGCCAAATTAGGGTTGAAAGTGAATGCAGTTATATTGCCTACTAGGTTAAGATAGTCCACTTAACCTTTGTGAGCCTACCCTATATGAATAGGAATGGACTGAGCAAGGTGCACTTGCTAAACTGGTATTACTAATGGCAATCTGGACTAGCATAGTGCAGAAGCTAACATCCCTTTCAGAGGTGAAAAAGTTTGGGTATAAATGGAGAAAAGGAAGAATGGAAAGGAATAAATGAATAGGTTATGCAGTGAGGGAAATCCAGTTTACACTGGTGCCTCAAAAGAGGTTCAGAACAAGATATGATATTGTTTCTTAGCTCAACTATAACAGATACCTGAAATAGTGAAGTCATATGTTGCTGAGACCACTCTTGCTTTTAGAATCTGATAAACTTGCAAACTTGAGTGGTATCACTCTTGGATACATTTTGGTCATATGATATGATGATGAACAGGCTAATTGTTAATGTCTGAGGAGGACTACAGTAATGTGCCTATATCTTTTGACTCTTATTTTTTAGGTTATATCTACTACCATACTGTGATATGTTGTAATACTGGTATTGTTAGTAAGATTATAGTACTGATATTGAGTAAAACTCTCCTCAGGATGTAATACCAATGGAAAATGACTGGTTTGAGGAAGTAGATTTATTTGTCAGCTAATTTCTAATGTATATAGTTCTGTGCAAATGTATCATATAGTACAAATAGCAGTAAATCAAGGTGAGAAATATGAAAATGTATGTAATGGGGCTTTTGAGGATAGTTTAGCTGTTTCTCTAAATCTCTCTGTACCCTAAAGTGCCTCCTCCAAATCTTAGGCATATTCACACTGAAACTATTGCTGTGTCTATCATATAAATGCTATAGTAAATACAGATGCCCAAACATGATTGTTTTGCTATAAGGAAGCCTTGGCCAAAGGCCAGGTGGTAGCTTGTGCAGTGAAGAATTAACATTACATTACCTAAAGAGATAAACATTACCCAAAGAATTAACATTACCTTTGTCCTCAGCTACTGAGAGGTAATCTCTAAGTTCTCAAAATGTCTTGATAGGCATGTCTTTGTTAGCCTGATTTATGATGGGGGCTTTGGGCCACATTGGTTTTGCCTCTGGAAAGTACTGGACACTAAAGATATTAGTTCAACCTTTGGGAAGGGCTAAAGACTGAAGGTCAGTAACATAGGCAGTACGTAATGAGCTACAAAAAAAAAAACCCCTGGACACCAAAAGTTCAGGTGAGCTTCTCTGATTGGTAATACTCCATGGGTATTCTCAAACATCAATGCCAGAATAATGCATTCATGACTCCACAGGGAAAGGAAAACAAAAGCTCCCCCCTGGACACCAAAAGTTCAGGTGAGCTTCTCTGATTGGTAATACTCCATGGGTATTGTCAAACATCAATGCCAGAATAATGCATTCATGACTCCACAGGGAAAGGAAAACAAAAGCTCCACATTTGGTACTTTTCCTGGACTCTGCTTTATGCAAGTCTTCCCTTGGCTGATTTTAATCTGTATCCTTTCCCTGTAATAAACCATAACTGTGACTATAACAGTTTTCAGTGAGTTCTATGAGTCTTTCTAGTAAATTATTGAACCTGTGGGTGATTTTGGGATCCCCCAAACTTGCAACTGGTGTCAGCAGCGAGGGCAGTTTTATGGAGTGCTCCAACTTTTTGGTTGGCTAACTCTCATAGTTGGCCAGATGTCCTTACACTAAACCATATAAATGTCAATGTTGCTTACCTGAGATCCTTTCTTGCTACCTGGCAAGTTAATTATGAGAGTTTTCCCTCTGATTCCACACACAGGCCTGAAAGGAAAGAGAAAGTGGATGAATACTAAATTGTAATGAATGCTTGGTTTAAATACATTCAACAACAAAGACAATTATTTTACTTTACATGTGAACAACTGCTTTAGGAATCAAATTGTTATAGTAAGATTTACCAATTGTTATACAAATTGGGCACTCTGGCTGAAGTTTTTACAATAATGGTTAGTGTGGTGAATTGGGAAAGTGCACTGAACATGAAGTCAAAATAAATTAGTCACTTTAAGGCAATCTGACCACAGACAAATTACCTTTTTGTCTAACTTCAGCTTCTTTATATCTCATACAGTTATAAGATTTCAATCACATAGTGCATAAAAAATGACTAGGGTATATTTGTGCATATCTTCAAAAGTCTAACACATAAAGCACTCAAGGGTTGAGTGAGACTTTGATTTGAGCTCTTACTTCTCAGGAACTCTACAAATTTTAAAGTAAAACAAGGTTTTTCACAAATAAATGGCAGTGGGGAAGAGGTTGAAGAGCTCAATAATTAACAGGCCTATTGATAATCACAGGTATGAGCTAGAAAGGTCCTTCAAAGATCATTGTTAGTTCCAGGCCACATTTAAACTAGCTGGTTAAATAAGAAACATAAAACAGTGGAAAAGCATCGGAAGACTACAGTCAAGTGTCAAAGGCATGGATTTTCATTTGAGACTTGGAATCATGTTCTATCACTAACCGGCTATGTTACTTTGATCTGGTAACTTTATCTCATTTTCAGCATTTGAAAACAAAGAGATTATGCTATTTAAAAAATTTTACAACCAAGATTTTTAGTTTTTTGGCAGTTGGCTGGTGCGGGGATGTGATCCGATAACCTTGGTGTTGTAAGGCTGCGCTCTAACTAACTGAGCCAACTGGCCAGCCCCCTACAACTAAGATTTTAAAATTAAATAAGAATATTTTTTTCTAAAAGTTCTTATGATTGAATTTATTCTTTAACCACTCTCATTCTCTGAAATAAAAAATTTGAGGCTACTTTATAACCTTTAATGTTAGTGATATTTCTTCGAAATCTGCTGTAGTTCTGGCAGTCAGAACTGGATAAAGTATTTTAATTAGGGTTGAAATGGCACTAGGTAATTGTATAGTTCTTACTATGTTCCTATTTACTTAAAAGTTTTGCCTTTCCTTCCCAACCAAAGTGCAACACTGCAGCTTTTTGTCAATTTGATAGCTAACTGATTATAATATCACCAGCAATGTGATTGGACTGCCACCAATTTTAAGGCCCCTTAATTTCATATGACAAATCTGGCAATTTATTTCATAAATCAAAAATTTTAACTAAGAGCATAATATTCCCTAAATATAGTATTAACTACACTTCAGGAAGTTTGTTGTATCTTTCCTCATAAAAATTAGAAATATTCTCATAACAATTAGTACATGTTACGTTCCCAACATTTCTGTGAAGAGAAAAATACAGTTATCTACAAAATATGGAAAAATAACCTGGGGTTCAGACAATTTGATTGATATATGCCTGACATCTTTGTAATTTTACATAGTAAGTTCATCCATCTTGTGTTTATGTAGTTTCCTTTTCTAAGTATAATGTCCATGACTTTACCCTTACTGACAATGATGTTGTTTCTATGTATTTCTAATTTATCAAATATTATAAAATTTGTTGAATTCTATTTTCCAAGGAAGCTGTAACTCCCTCTACCACAAGGCTAGTGGTAAATGAAAACACAGTTAATTCTTTTTATTCCAACTTTTTGGTCATCAAGTCCAAGCTTGATATCTCCAATAATACTTCATCTGCTGTAGGTAGAGACCCTAGTAGCAGTGCTAATACAACCCATAGTTATAATATGTAAGCCACTATTTCTATGTGTATGTGTGTGTGTGTGTGAGAGAGAGATGTAATTAAAGCTTTCTATATAGCCAGGAGAAATTATATCTGTTATTTCCCATCAATATCTATGGCCTTTTATTTTGCCAAAAAATTTGGTCACTTAATTTCTTTGTCAATTCTCTTAATCTCTTGAGAGAGAGATGTAATTAAAGCTTTCTATATAGCCAGGAGAAATTATATCTGTTATTTCCCATCAATATCTTTGGCCTTTTATTTTGCCAAAAAATTTGGTCACTTAATTTCTTTGTCAATTCTCTTAATCTCTTCGAAGAGTTTACAAATTAATTTTGAGATGTACTTTTTCATCTATAGAATATCCAGAGTCACTGCAGGAAGAAAGTACTTAACTTTACTTTATGGTTAATAAAGTATCTTACAAACTCTATCTCATGTAACAATTAAAAAAATACAAGCACCACAGTTATAACATATTTCAATATTTATTAAACAATTAAAGATCGTAGGAAGTATCATGGGATAAATGTAACCCAAATCCTTAAGGAGTTTACAAATGCAATATATAACATTAAAGCATACAAACAATTACAATACAAGATAGGTAAAACTGGCATAAAGTACCATGAGTTCAAAATAAAAGCATTATATTTCTAGGTGAGGGCATGAGGTAAGACTTTATAGAAAGGTAGCATTTGGGGCCGGCCCGGTGGTGCACTGGATAGTGCGCCGCTTGGGAAGCGCGGCGGCGCTCCCGCCCAAGGGTTCGGATCCCACATACAGACCGGTTCCCGCTCACTGGCTGAGCGAGGCGTGGGAGCAGCACCGAGGGTTGCAATCCCGTTGCCGGTCCCCGGTCCGGTACGGGGGCAACACTGAGGGTTGCGATCCGTTGCCGGACACGGAAAAAAAGACAAAAGACAAAAGACAAAAAAAAAAAAAAAAAAAGAAAGGTAGCATTTGAGTGGCATTATAGGGGAAAACATTTCCACAGGTAAGAAAAGGTAGGGGGAAAGGCAAGAAAAAGAAGGAAGTTTAAGTAGAGGGGAAAAATAATATAAAAGAACAAAGCAAAAAAGTACCAAATACATTTTGAGTATTTTAAGCCTTTTACCTGGCGAGAGGATACTGTACTTGTAGAGGGGAAATGCGAGGTAAGAAGTACCAGTGAACAGATATTGCAGTATGATAGATTAGTAATTTTTGAAGTGTGGTCTCTGGATCATCAACATATATGAGGGTACTTCAAAAAGTTCATGGAAAGATTTGTATTATCTTTTAACTATTTTTCGGCAAACTTTCTGAGGTACCCTTGTTCATCATTGGGAACTTGTTAAAAATGCAAACTCTCCCACAGAGTCCCGAATGTTTCAATTAAAAAAAAGAAACTATGGGTGTAGAATCCATTCATCTGTATCTTAACAAGCTCTCTAGTTGATTCTGATCCATGGTAAAGTTTGAGAACTGCTGTGATAGACTGTGCTTGAATTTTGGTACTACTATTTACTATATCAGTGTAATCCTGGCTTAATTATTGAATCTCTCTAATCTTTAGTTTTCAAAGCCTGAGTTGCTGAAGGGATTAATATTATCCTTGAAATATATAGTACAGTGCCTAGTACATAGTAGGCACTCAATAAATACTTGGCTCATCTCCCATTAAAAAGTACATTGGAATTAGACAGTGGAAGTCATGAATTTACTATAAGGAGCTAGAATTTATTTTATTTTATTTTTTTCCTTTTTTTTGTCTTTTTTCGTGACCGGCAATGGATCGCAACCCTCAGTGTCGCGCCCGTATCGGACCGGGACCGGCAACGGGATCGCAACCCTCGGTGTTGCCCCCGCACCTTGCTCAGCCAGTGAGCGGCCGGTCTGTATGTGGGATCCGA